GGGTCCTCCGGAGGACCCGGCCTGTCGTTTTGGACACAGCCTCTCTGTAAGCAGATCACAGGAAGTTGTCCAAGATTTTTGTGTAATGTAATTWTACATCATTCCTGCTAAAAGTGGTGGACGTAGTTCCACTCATAAGCTAATGGCTAACAGCTAATAGTGAAACTAGCTTTTCATTTAGTCGATTAGCTTTTTGACAAACTTTTTTAAAACCGTTAGTGGACAAGTTAGCTTTCGCTTAAGTAGATTTGCCAACAGATATGTTAACAAGCTAACAGTGCAACCAGTCAAAGATGCGTTACAGTCATCTTAGCATTTAGCGATTAACTGTCAGTGTTAGCTTGCGCTATTGTTTATGTTTAGCATTAGCAAAGCTGTATTTTTAGTTGGCTGATGAGTTAGAAAACCTTTTTCACTAACTTTGAAAACCATTATCAGACTGATTAGCTTCCACTAAATTATGTTTTTCCAACTTAAGTATGCTAACAGCTAACCAACAAGCTAACATCAACAGGTTTCTGTCCCACGTCTTCAGGTGGAAGGAGATGAAGATATATGACGCAGACTGAGCGACAGTCATCGTAGTGATTAGCTGTTGGTGTTAGCGTCCACTAATTTTTTCATGTTTAGTGTTAGCAAAGCTAAAGTTTTTGTTAGAAAAGCTAACTGTTTGGTTAGCTCCGCCCACCTCTTCCTGTCACCAATCATATTGTTAAAAGTTTGAAACAAACAATAAAAACAACAAAAAAAGTATTTTTCTTACATTCTCAGTTGATTTATCAGCCGCTCTCTTGTTACTTTGAGGTTTTACCGGGGAGATTACCACATCGACGTCTGCATCAACGACTACCTGGACGTGTACTGTCCGCACTACGTGGGTCCGGTGTCGGAGGAGCGGGCCGAGCGCTACGTCCTCTACATGGTGAACTACGACGGCTACAGCTCCTGCGACCACACCGCCAAGGGCTTCAAACGCTGGGAGTGCAACCGGCCGCTGGCACCCAACGGACCGCTCAAGTTCTCCGAGAAGTTCCAGCTCTTCACGCCCTTCTCCCTGGGCTTCGAGTTCCGCCCCGGCAGAGAGTACTACTACATCTGTGAGTACACGTTTGGAGCGTTACTGGTCCAATTCATCCAGGGATCTTCAAGCGTTAAAATATTGGTCAAATCTTAGGTACAACACAACAAATTCTCTTCAAATCATTCCTGAAACTCTTATCAGCCCAATTCATTTCAGCTAACTTTATTTTTATGGTGTGGGTCCAATTCACTCCAATTTAATCCTGATTATTTGCATTCACTTTTGTTTATTTTTAGGTAATATTAAATTTTATTCAGTATCCTTTTATTACGTCCAGTCTTTTATTGATTGATGTCCAATTCAATCCAATTTACTTTACCTCGTTATTTTATTTAACCATTTATAACCTACGTTGATTCAATGAACTCTTATTTAAATGTATATTGAATAACATATAGAC